GCGCATACGTGCTGCTCTTCATATAGCCTTGGGCATGCCTAAGACTACTCTGCTTCTCTCTCTCTACTCAGAAACCAACCAGATATCTTCCTCTACAAACCAGGCTACACCAAAGAGCGATTTCCCACACCATCACTCACCTTTTGAGAGGCCCATATAGCCCTCTCCATGCTATCTTCCACAGAGCATTCAGGTTCCAGGGACCGTACACCTCCAGGGTACTTTCCCACCTCTGTCGGAAGGGCCTGCTGACCTTCCATCTTTACCAGCAGAGGCACATGCCACCGAGCACTGTCCGTGTTCCTACTCGATTTCGCATAGATGACCTTCGACTAACAACCCTTTGGCAATTATGTATGCCAGCAGGTTCAACAAATTACTGGAGACCAACTGGCAGCGTTGGACACTCCTCGGGGCAGACACCTCGAAATCCCATACACAGATGGCAATTGGGGTTGTCCTTCTGGCCACAATATCTGGGAAACATGGTTGCTCCATGACCACTGCATCATATTCAGAGCAGAAGCTCTCAGGATCCAATGGGCATTATATATCTGTGCCCGCCTCAATAGTCCAACAGCAATTTTTTCAGACAGTAGATCAGTCCTCCAGGCGGTAGCAAACGTCATGTTTTCCTCTCTAACAGTCATCATTAATATAGTGACTTCAATAAGTTCACATCCAGAGCCCTTAGAACTTGGGTGGGCCTGGGTCATGTTGACATACAGATCAATGAGGCAGCCGATAAGGCAGCTAGTTTTAACAACCCAATCGGTTCCTGGCAGAGGCCCCTCATGGCACATGATCTCAATATCACCGTGAGGGTGCGGATATCCATTATCTTGGGTATCTGCAATGTAATTCATTATAATGAGATGTTCTGTAAATGCTGTTTGTGGTTTGTAAAACTTGATGGATAGTATAGTTTGCTGATAATATAGATATAGATGAAGGATAATACTTCCAAAAGCACCATAAGTCCATGCTGTATAGCAAGATCCAATAAAGTGTCACAAAGTACTGTACAGATGTCTGGTGTTTTATATACAACAAAATATATTTAAAATATTAAATTACAGATGGTGTTCTATTTTACAACTAATTTACTTTTTCAGTTTGAATAAATTATATACACTTCAAAATTCAATTTAGTAAAAAACATCTTTACTGAAAACTTAATTTGAAGTGTAAATAATTCTCAAAATAAAATAACAAATTCTAAAATTTTCCAATAAAAAATAAGAAAGAAAAACTTTTGATTTTATATCACAAATAATTATAACTGTAAACCACTATCGAAACAAATAAATATAATTTTTAAACTAAAAATGCCAATTTGTTCAATCCTTATTTCAATTAAAAAGACTTCTAATTAATTATCATCACTAAATATTGTATTTATATTTTAAACACTATTTACATCAGTGAATAGCAAATAAGACAAATTATGCAGAAAATCAATTAATTGAGATTTAATTTATATACATTATTATTGATATGTATCTTTTATTTTATACTTTATATGAAAGAGGATCTAAATAAATACATATGTGAATAAATAATTCTTTCCAAATAATTTAGAAACATTTATATATTTTGTATCAAAACAAAACAACAATTTAATAAATAGGAATTTTGAGCACAATTTACAAAATTATTGCTTTCCTCATAACACAACAAAGAATTTTGTTTATTTATAGTCATGTTTTAACTTAAAAATATTACAATAATAAATAATACAAAACTAAAAAAACTTTTTTACTCATTTTCATTCTTACTTTATTTATTAAAATTACATGAATAATTCCTAAAAATTTATATCCTAAAATGTAATAAATATTGTTCATTTTTAACAATTTTCAGCTATTTTTTCCAAGATTCTTTTATTCTATTTTCAGATTAATAGTAAATTTGGTAAACAGCAAGTAAACTGATAATAATTCTCATTGAAATGTAATGATTTTATTATTGTATGATGCCACACCAATTAATCTTATAACCAAAGTTGTAACAAATGAAACCCAATGATTCACATTTGGCATTTATTCAACTTAATCTCATTTCTAGGATTTCCCCATGATGTCATACTTAAGAATTTCCTTTGTGAATTATGAAATGCAATGTTAAGTCAAAGTTCTGAATGACTATAAATAGTATTAGTAGTCTAATATTTTTAAAATTTGACTATTTTATTAGATAAATCCTCTCTATAAACTAATTTATATTTTAAAGTTAGATATATTCATTATTTGACACAAGATAATCAATTTTTTCAGAAAAGGAAAATTTTATATATAAAAAAATTTACTGATAATAGTTAGTAATAAATCTCAGAAAATTTTATAAGTAAATCTTTCAACCATATTCATAAAGAATTGTTTTTGGGAAAAAATTTTATTTCAAATATTCATGTTTTCAGATTTATTAATCCATCTCAAACGATATAAACACCATCATATTTTAAGAATTTCCGAAACAGGCCTTCCTTAGAGTTTTATGTTGTGAAAAACCAAAACACAAAGTTATCTAAATCTTATTAAAAGATTGTACAAATAAGTTTTAAATACAAAATTTTATACTGTAATAAATTAGAATAAAGATATTATCAACTTTAATTTACTTTCTTATGCTATAGTTGCACGATAGTTTGATGTTAATGTGAAATATTTAGCAATAAATTTGATATAGAACTAAACAGCCTACGTACTCAATGTCAGTAAAGGTTTGTAACAATCAAATGGAACAAATAGTCTTTAAATGCAGTTTTTTTACTTTCTTCCTGAAGAATCTTTTCTAAATAACTGTTTATAATATAATGGAATGACTTATCTTTAATAAACAAATAATATTTGGAATGTAATTATTAATGTAAAAATCATATATCCATGAAAAAGAAAATTAAAAATATATGTTTGATTTCAAACAAACTGAAATGCACTTTTTTTGGTAATGTGCCAGATGTTCTAGCTGTCAAAACTTACTGGAATAGCACATCCTGATTCCTTGTAATATTATATAAGCAAATAATATTCACTCTTCATCTAGTATAAATGCATAATATAAAAGAGAACAAATATAGAAAAAAAATGAAACTATTGTCAAATTATTTGGAAAAAACCATTTTCATTTAAAAATTTAAAGAAACATTACCATTATTAAAATTCAAGAATGTGAAATAGTTACCAGTATTACTAATTTAAAATTAATTTTTTAAAAGTTTTTTAAATGTTCCTTTTGTTAAATTTTTTTCAACTTGAATTGTTCAGGAAACAATGATAATTATTCTTTAACATTTTCATTCAAAAGTTGGCATGTTATTAATTAATTTAAAACTTTAAATATATTAAATAAAGCATTATTATATATGATACTAATTTTTGATCTTGTAACAGAAATCTTAAGTTTGTCTTCTTTAAAAAAAATAGCCTTTTGGAAGTCGAAAGAAGAAATAAATTCATTTTGACAATCTTCTGTCATACCATAAATTCAGGAAATTTTAATAATTTATAACATTTTATCATAACAGCTGATTATATCATTTATTTCTATCCTCTGATAATTTCTTATACACACTACAATGACATGCAATCCCCCCAATCAATAAATCATAAATCATTGTTATTGATTATTGATATAGTATTAATATCAAAAAATTAGCATTTAAATGATAAATACTAATTACTAAATTGTTTTGTTTCATAAAAAAGAATTAATATATTAGTGATGTAAAAAGAAAACTACTATAGTAACAATATATAATAAAATGTGAAGTGTACACACAAAAGTAATTTGTTTAATTGTTATCTCCATTCTAAACTCAACACTGTTTTAGAAATAATAATGTCTTATTTAAAAAGTAATAACTGATGATGATTAAAAACTTTTCAATTTCATTCTTCTAAAATTCATAAATATGTTTACCTAATCAAAAATTAAACCAGTTTTTCTTGTAGAAGCCATTTCAAGGTAAAATTAATCATGGATCATTTTAAAAAATTATGATTTTACAAATTACAAATTTAAATTATATGCAAAGCACATTTGTTTATTCAAATTTTTTTTCCAATTTTATGATAAATTGAATATTGATATCTTTTACTTTCTATAAATTATAAAAACATTTTTTGCTTTTACTGTTATTAACTGAACTTTGTTTATTTCTTAATGAGATTTTAATCACTTGGAAATGCTTTTTCACCTCTTTTTTGACATTATTTTTATTTAAATAAAGAATTAAATATTTAATTAGTTCATTTAAAAGAAGAAAGTCATTTCCAACTACTACAAATTATTATTAATATATACTACTTGCTTGCTTCAAAGTTCTTATTAACAACAAATTCTCAAATCAACACTGAAATAATGGTAAATAGACTTAAAAACTGCACAAATGAGATTTACCTTTAGTATTTAGAATTTCTTCAAATATATTTTAAATGAATTTAAAACATCAGATATTTTTCTGATTGTTTTACAAGTATCATTACATTGATAAAGCATTAAAATAACTAAAGATTAAAAGAAATGGGCTTTCAAAAAAGAAAAATATTTACTGTATATCAAAATATTTGTTATCTTGAATCTATCATTTCTACTCAATGTTTATTGATAAAATGAGTCTCATTGTTAATATCAATAATTATAACAATTTAAAACTATCACTATTAAATTTACAAATTTTACAATTCTGAGATTTCATGTAAACAAATAAACAAAATAGAAGAATCAATAAATGCTAATTGTAATTTTAGAGAAGATAAATGTTAGATTTACAGTATCATACATTATTGTGTTTTATTTTGTTATCTATGCATTATTTTTTATATAGCTATTCATGCTAATACAGTATTAAAAGAATCTTTCAGTAAAAACTGTTTCACAAATTAAGTAAAGTTTTCAGACAACTATGATTAATTTTTCCACTATGTTCATTTTTCTTAAACAATATTTTAACTGATTTATTCATAAATTTGTATATTATAACAAAAAGATTATCCTACCTTCCACAATTTACTATTCCACACTGAACACACATCCAAGGGCTTTTTTTTATTTTGCATTCTGAAAAGAAATGTTTTATAAATTAAATAACTCAATATTTCATTAAAGCTATAACTAGATAAAATTTACAATAAAAATTGATTTAAATGTACTGTAATTCAACTTAACTCTGTGAAGAGAATACATAAATACATACAGACATATAACTATAATTTAAAGATTATAGAATACTACTTGAATATTAAATATTCTAATGTATGACAACTCAATTCTAGAGAATGCATGAATAAACTTCATAAAAGCTAAAACATGAAATAAAATAAACACACTTAAAAATAATTATATTAATGATGAAATTTTTACTGATATCAATCTTGGTATGATTGCTGGCCATATCTGTTTTTTGATGAAAAATGAGATCATAATTGTTACCCAGTTCAATCTCGATTGTGTAAATCATTTGAACGTAAGGTATAAAATATCTCAAAGACTTCACGTCATTTAAAACTATCAAACCAATGCTTAAAAACCAAACAACATATAGATAACTCATTCAGAAACTCTGCATATCAATAAGAATCAAATCAGTTTACATTAATAGAACAAATATCTTCATTTCCTAATTACTAGGGTTTCTCATTTCCTGGTCTTTTGCTTGTCCCGGAATTCCGGGATAAAAGNATTAGATATTTTATTTGTTATATCGTACAATAATTAAACAAATAACATTATACTAGTCACTAGTCTATTCAATGCAGTACGAATTTGGTGTTAGTCTTGGCCCTCGGCATTGGAATTTTGTAGTGAAGGAGGCGATACTATATAACAGTTTTATTGAAGGGGGCGACGATTCGTTAGAGGTTGAGAAACATTGGTCTAAATCAAACATTTTCTAGTTTTCAACCAATTGAAACTGCTTTTGATAATTTTGTAACAAATATTTTAATTAGTTTATTGGTCACATTGTTAGCCATTAGAAGTTTTGTTTCAAATTCCATGAATCATGACCTTCAAATGTAAATCAGAAATATATTTTTCCCCTCTCATCAGTACTAACAAATTTATGTAATATTGCACAGATTTTAATGAAACAGACAATAACATATCACAATAAATAGTGAAATTAATTCATCATAAATATAAAATAATTCAATGTTAATAACTGAATATTGTAAATATAACAAATTAATTGAATAACTTGATATTTTATAAACTCTCAGGTTTCAATGTTAAATAGTCAATAATTTAAAAAAAAAATTTTTAAACTGTAGAGTCAAACTAGTTACAATTCTTTAATGTGTAGAATCAAAACTAAAAAATGCTGTGTAAATCACGGATGACGCCGTATTAGAATTTAAAATAACATCATCCTTGATTTACACAGCATTAAATAGAGCAGTAATAAATAATTTACACAGGTTTAATTCAATAGAATATTACAATAAAGCTAAATTAAACATTTAGAACTACAGTAGAGCATCAATTATTCGAATACTGACCAACACCAAAATCAAGCAAAATGTAGAAATTTTACTGTAAAATAATGTTTTCATCCATATATAATGACATCATCAGGTTTAATTCAATAGAATAGAACAATAAAGCTAAATTAAACATTTAGAACTACAGTAGAGCATCAATTATTCGAATACTGATCAACCGAAATGTCAGTTAACCAAAAGCCGTTCCAGTCAGATTGTGTCATGCTGAATCTAATGTTTTTGATACTAGATTAACTTCTAAAGTATATATTTTTTTGTTTTTATATTTTTCAATATATTTATTTTGCTTGTACAAAATAAAGAAATAATTTTTAACAATATAATAGCCACGATTATTATTTTAAAAATTTTCATTAGGCTTAACATTGATGAAAATTAACACAAAGTGACACGCAACGGAGAAAAATTTAAACATGGGATATATTAATATACTATTATTGGGATATACTAATATACCATATTAATAATGTATTTTTTTGTACATAATCGGTTATCTGAAAAATCAATTTTCCAAACAACTCCAGTCCCCAACTGATTCAGATAATCGAAGCTCTACTGTATTAGAACATCTTTAGAATATGAGCAAAACATCTTTAAGAACGTTCAGCAAACTGAGCATGCCTGATATGGACCAACAGTCAATTTATCTCAAACAGCATTCTCCATGCCATAGAAACTGGATCGGTTTCTTTGAAGTTAATTGTTGTTCTCCCTCTAAAGACTCTGTAGATCTCAATCCTTTCTAGATGTTCAATTTCTGTAGGTTTGGTGTTGGAGATTTGCTTTGTCTAGGTTTACTTTCACATCTTAATCTAGAACAGTGGTGCGTAACTATTTTCATTTCCGACCCCCCATTTTGTGTACCCCACACTGAGAGGTGTTTTTCNATTGATATCTGAAAAAATTATTAATACTATTAATACATTAAAAACAAAAACAAACAGCTCCATTAGTTCATTTTGATTCCTAAAAGAATGTTTCATTCATGTCTTTAATTAACAGTAGAATATTGAAAAACAAATGTAAAGTTAGTAAAGGTTCTTGTTTTTTCACTTTATATCAAACAATTATAATTGACAATAGTTAACTAGCAAACAGTACATTCAGTATATAAATACTGTTCTTCTAAACATTATTAAAATTAATAGTAGAATATCTACACCACAGTACTGCAAAAAAAGGCTTATAGATATGTGCATTTTATTATTAAAATTAGCCAAAGAACATTAAAACTGTATCTAGCATTTACATTAAAAACTAATGTTTTATTTTATTTTAAAATTAATTAATCATTACTTCTTTCTATTACATAACATTTAAATTACAAAGTTATGACAGATTCAATCATACCAGACTGTTTTTGTTGTACTAATTAGACATAAAAATTAAATTATGAAAAATCAAAATTATAAAACAACCTAAACTATATATATAATAAATTTCTTTTTAAACAGTAACAACTACAGAAAAAAAATCTCTTGAAATTACAAACATCTGTCTAAAGATTCCAACAAGAAGATAAGGAACAATGCCTGACAAATTTTACTGCCAGTTTGACAAGTCTCTTAAATAATATTCAAGAAAATGATTTGCATGCTTTTGATATGTATGGTACTGTACATCAGTAACTAACAAATTAAGTGTTAACTAGCATTAGATGTTATCAAATTACAAATTTAATAACATTTTTGTATATTACAACTAATTTAGTGGTAGTAAGAAAATAAAGAAGTCATAGGAGATAAACTAATTTAATAATAAATATTTAATGTATAATATTTAAACAAACATATCAAACAATATTAATGACTGATATATTTGCCAGTTAAATTTGAGAGAAATATAATTTTCTGAGAACAAAATTTATGTCAAAGGAAATCTGTTACAACTAAACTTGTTTAAATATTCATTCTAGCAAATTAGATTTTTATCATTTATTCTTGTTAACAGTACCTTTTTTTTTTACTTTTATCATAGATACAGATAGATTAATATGGATAGACAGGTTGCCATACTGTCTGTTACTTTCTTATATCGTATCCTTCATATAGATAAAATATAAATATCTTTTAAAAAATCTTAAGTATTTTTAATACGCAAAAGACCTTGTAATTTAATAAATTTGATTTATTGGATTTCATTATATTCAATTGTTGTAATATCAACAATATATTATTCTCCATAATTTAAAATTTCCATATTTTTCTATACTGGTATTGTACAGTACATCTACAAATTAGATTTAATTTCAATCCTGTTTGCAATAATTTTTAGATATATTTTTAATACATAATAAAATAATATGAACAAAACTTGATTTCATGATTTGATGAATTATTTCAGTAAGAATTTAAGTAATTTTGTATAATAGTTATTTAACTTTTTAAATTTATTAAATATAAAAATCTCTTCAAAAATCATATTATAAGAATAAAAATAATTCAAAGTATGATTTCATTACATAATATGAAGTAATTTTCAATATCTTATTCACCAAAATCTAAAATTTAATCAATTCTTTTATTATAATTTACTAATATTCACTTTATATATAACATACACAACAATACAATATTTATTGTTTATTATTATGAATAATTCAGAAAATAGTTACAACTTCTGTTTCAATGTGAATTAAAATGAAAATTCATTAACAATATCATTTTTCATCTAATAGATTTAACTTTGAAATAAAAAATTATTTTAAATCACCACTAATTATTAGTATTAATAATTCTTTCCTTTACTTTTTGTTGTAACAGTTTCAAAATCTCAATTAAGCCCCAGATATTATTGAAGAGTATATATAATTTTTTAATATAATAATTGGCTTACAAAATTAAATTATTTTGTATATGCAATTTTTTCAATTTATTCCTGTACTAATTCATATGTAGTTGATATTCTTAAAAAAAGACAATAATATCTAAACTATATATGATAATATGTAAACAACATGTACAGTACATCCAAAGAATACACAAAGACCAAACAAAAGAAAAAAATCTTCCCTTATACTTGGAACTTAATTCTACCTTACTGCTAAAATAATTATTAATTGCTGAATATGCCATATGACTCCTAGTTCATATATTAACATTTATATTTTGGGTGTTATACATTTGTTTTATTTTTGCTTTAAATATATGTTAACATATAACATTTAAATAAGTTTTTGACTTTCATTTAGTGTGTTATCTACTCATATTTGCTGTATGTAGAGTGACTCAGATTCATGTTTCTGAATAATTCATAATTCATTCATGCACTATACATCCATCATCAGTAGAGCTTTATATAAAATGAAATTTCCTTCCTATAAAAAACAAATGATTATCCTTGAAATGAAAGCAAGTCATGCTAAAAATTCACTGTTTGCTGTTCTTATTGACTCACACGATTTTAATAAACTAGAACTTTCACTGAAAATAAATAATTAACAATTATTAATAACTACTTGAATACTCTCATATAAAGTAAGCAGATACTGTATCTCAAAAATTTACCAATTTAAGTTATTATTACACTACTTTCAAATTCAATGTGATATTCAGATGATGATGTGGAATGAAATGGATTCTTAAATGATGACTAATCATTCCTTTTGCAAGTGTCAGATCTACACTATGTGTCCTAAAATTTGAGGTCAACTATCAAACTTCTTTCATTAGTTTTAAATATATTTATTACATATAACTGATATTTTATGAAAGAGAAATTCATCACTCATTAATTAGAACACATTATAAGAGTTAAATTGTATAAGTAACCATTTATAACTTTTTCAATGTTGTTATTCAATAGGTTTAAGTATTTTTTTAAGTTAAGAAAAAACTTGGCATTGGTTACATATGGACTCATTTAATCAAATTCATAAAACAAATTCACAAAAGTTTTAAAATTATTATAAGTTAATAATAAGTAAATATACTAAAGACATTATAAAGTAAAGTAAAGAATGAATTTGAGATTATCATTAAAAGTTTTAATTCAACCAAAACAAACATTAATAAATTTATTTCTAATGTACAATTTTCAAATTTAGAAAAAAAATAAGCTAAATTACTTTATAACAATGCCAAATATGACAATGTAAATAAATTTCATGCCTTTTGTGCAACAAACAATCTTCAGTTAGAAGAGAATCAATACTATTTACGCAACCAATAAAATCACAGTTATCAGTATTTAATGATTCTAATAATAGATATATTATTTATCATATACAAATATACTCATGCTTTATAAACTATCTTCTACAATTTTCATTACAAATATTCTACTTTAGATCAATAATAATAAAAATAATAATAATAATAATAATAAAGGTATCCCTGGAGCTCCACGGTAATTTGCTTCAGAAAAATAGTATGTAAATCAATACTAATTTATAAGATTTAACACAAAATGTTGAATTAAATTCCAAAGTTTTACAAACAAAAAGAACTGTTTGTTTTTCTAATTTATTTCTTTAAATCCAATTTAAAATTATCACTAAAACGCAGTTTATTCTTTTTAATTAAGCATTTAAAAAGTCTGTTTAATAAATTTTCACAATTATATTTTTGTATTTTAGAATTTCTTAAATATTTATTTATAAATCAACTTTTAATTAGAATATTTAAAATTGTAGTAGTCTAAAGATCATTGCCTAAATCAGTGTTTCTCAACGGGGGCGATATCGCCCCCATGTGGGCATTTTTCCATGTTGAGGGGGCAATTAGTAACAATTTATATTTTGGGGGCAAAAAACAATTTTCTGGGTGATATAGTAAAACATTATATTAAGAATAATTAGATATTTTATTTGTTATATCATACNATTTTTTCACATTAGTACAAATAAAATAATTAATGGTCAAAAACAAGCAAAATATGTATATTTTTGATTTTTATAAAATAACATTTCTTTTCAAAATAGAAGTTTCTCACAATTTTTATCTTAAAATAAGCAAATCTTTTGTTTGGAATGATGGTCTGATCTATTCTAATATATGAGATACATAGTGTGTTGTAAAAATTGATTAATTCAAATATTTGGCATTCGTATGTCAATAACAAATTTGGTATGATCACACTTTAAAAATTCAAGTTTGTTGCAATGGACTAAATGTTCTCGAATTCCACCATTCACGGTTTGGACCGCGACGACTCGCCGTGTGTCTTTATGTTTACGAGCGTACGATTACAAATACAATAGCAGACAAACGTTACGAATCGAATTTATTGCACTAAATTTTTTTTATTATAATTTTAAATTAAAATACCGAATTACAATTATCGTCGTTGGTAATAACGTAAAAGTAAGTGGCCGTCGATTTGAGAAATTTAAAATGGGAAAGTGGCTTCACCGGCTCGAAACTCGTTTGTAGAGTTCGAATGCCTTATAAAATTAATAAAGGGAGGTTATTGTAAGCTTAGAAAGAAGATTTAATGAGAAATATTTGGAAACATCGTTTGAATAGTGACATCACAGAGTAATGTATGTTACTCTACGGTGACATCTGTCATTCACTTAACAAGGAGAAGAGGAATCGATTGACAATTAGTAAATAAATATAGATAGAATCGGCCTTGATAATCGATGTATTAATATAATTCTCTTCAAATAAACGTTAGTAAATACAAATTCGATTCATTGGTTAGGCCTAACCATTTTCTTTCTTTAAAAGGGAGCGAAAACTTACCGAAACAGTACCACTCGTACGGATCACTTTCTTTAATTTGAGGAGGAACTGTTATTTTGACGCAGTCGTCCAAATGTGGGCATTCCATTGTACTTTTCTCAATATATTTACATTATCCCTTCCGACATTATTCTTTCGTTCATTCGAAACTTTTCACAAAAGCGGTAATTAACAGCGCCCTCTCTCAGATATTTCTTTTAACGTTCACTGATTTTTTAACTTTTTTTTTTTAATCCGTGATTTATTCGTACGTTAAGCGCGATTTAATTGCCGAATTTCTCTCTGTATAAATAATACGACGTAGGTCCTGATGTTTTGTTCCGGCCACCGGCGCGATCCTTTATTATTTACCCAATTATGCGCTAGTTTGACGTATTCGAACGAGTTGCCGAAATCGTCTAGTAAGCGCAGAAGTTTTTTTTAAAACATTAAAACGGTCACGTGACCTTTGTATTAAAAAAAATTCAATTTTTCTTACGTTCAGGCAAATAAACATTGCTCGAGATAAACGAAATACCATATTTATTATAATATCTTATGTTAATTTTCATTAAATCAGTAATAAATTATGAAGGGACTCAAAAATTTAGTTCATTCGAAATATCACACGAATCTTTTCAAATGAAAACGTTTAATCCCCAATTAAAAAAATAAATGATTTTTCTACATAAATTCCTTATTAATACAAATATATCATAGACACATTAGTGACGTTGCTAATATAAATACTTGAATTCACACAAATTTACTAGTTGATGGCAAGAAAATTCTTTTATATAAATCTTGTTTATTTGGCCTCAATATAATGAAATTTAACTGCCCAAAACTAAGTGTATGTTAATAAGCAATGTACTGTACGTGTAACCGATATCCAGTAAGAAACTACAAAAGAAACTTCTTGCCAGATACCGGTTACGTATGTGGGTATTTATAATAGCAAAAGGGGCAAAAAACACTTATTTAACAGTTTCGACAAATGGCTTCGATTGGAAACGTTGGTAATTATTTGGGAAATGTCTTTGACTTCTAAGTGGCAGAACGGAGCTGTCAAAAATGTTCGAAATAAATACTTTTGGTCTCTCGGATCCGGTCGTCTACTCGTTGAGGTTGTGTTGCTTTGTGCGACACAACCTCAACGAGTAGACGACCGGATTATGTAATGAAAATACTAGCATAAAATTGTTAGCTGTACAGTATGTTACTATGAAACTGTTATCATGCAATTTTAAAACTCAAAAAATAATGCCTAAACATAAATATATAAAATATTATTTCATCATCACATTTCAATATTGTCAAATTTAGATATAAAATTAATCCTTTTAAGAACTGAAATTTGTCGGTTTAAGTTTCTAGCAAATAATTGTCGTGTTTGGTGTAACTACAAAATTTTGTAGCATTAAATATTTTTGGGGAGTGTTACTCGGTTTGACACATTCGCTTATTAATTTACATAATTGCTCTTAAACAACCAAGTGTAGTTTAGAAAATTGAAAAGTATTTTAAAAACATTGTTTAAATCATTTACATGTCAAACTAATTTGAGTTCCCTTTCATTATAAACAATTTGCGGGTGTCGTTAAATAATGTGTAACTGTTCGCGAGAGATTTTGATAAATTCTCCAAAAATGTTTAGAGTGAAACTAGACATTTAGAAAAGACTGGTTATTTTTCTGACCAGTTTACATTAAGGAAAAAATATTTTTAATGCAGTAATAAACATGTGGATATAAATTCTTAACTCCCACAATCAAAAATAATTTGAATTGCTAAATGTCAAAAATATTACTCTGAAAATATATGGAACTAAGTTTAATATGATAAATCTGAAAGTGTAATTAATTGTATTTTAAATATAGAAAAAAAATCTAAATGCTATTTATTATGTATTTGATTATGAATTTTACTGATAATGAATATTAACAATAAACAAGGTAAAAGGAATATGAATATTTCAAATGAAACAAACAAACATTTAAATCTCACTTTATTTCAATTATTTTTTTAATTCAACACAACCATTAAAATATGGAAAATTTTTTCACATTAGTACAAATAAAATAATTAATGGTCAAAAACAAGCAAAATATGTATATTTTTGATTTTTATAAAATAACATTTCTTTTCAAAATAGAAGTTTCTCACAATTTTTATCTTAAAATAAGCAAATCTTTTGTTTGGAATGATGGTCTGATCTATTCTAATATATGAGATACATAGTGTGTTGTAAAAATTGATTAATTCAAATATTTGGCATTCGTATGTCAATAACAAATTTGGTATGATCACACTTTAAAAATTCAAGTTTGTTGCAATGGACTAAATGTTCTCGAATTCCACCATTCACGGTTTGGACCGCGACGACTCGCCGTGTGTCTTTATGTTTACGAGCGTACGATTACAAATACAATAGCATACTTCTGAGGTATGGGGTGGATGACAACTCAGAATTAATACATTAACATACTTTTAAAGTAGTATTTAGTTTCATTAATAAATTTTTTTTAAATATCAATTAAATTGTCATAAATATAGATAATTATACAATAGTAAATTATATTTGCACAATATATACAAATTTTAAGTTATTTACTTTCAAATGTATAACAATAAAAATATAGTTTCTGAAATTAGGTTTGTTGCAAAAGAAAAATAATCTTTTATTGTAGGAAGACATTAGTTTTATAAAATCTATTTACATAAAACCATCATTATAAAAGCAATAACTAGATTTGCAACTATTTTTTGCAATTAAAAAAAAATAGTTCAAAAAATATCAACAAAGTATAAAAATTTGCAAAATTACTAACTTAAAAAAATTATTTTTCTCACTCATCTAAAAGTTCTTCATCAGAACTAAAGCTGACAACTTGCAGGCAAGAACTTGATGGTACAGCATGAAGATTTTGTGAATTCCACGGCCCAAGAGGCAAAAATGGGAACGAAGATGTAATAACAAAAGAATCCTGCCTAAGCTTACAGGAATTGACTTCTGTAGTAAAGACACAATCGTCCGAAGCAATTCTTCGGTGGGTCTGGTGCAGAAGTTGTTGCTGACGCGTTCTACTAGTAAGTGACTTTATAATATTTTCCAAAGACCTTATCTCTTCTGATAATTTCAGATTATTAAGATAAAGAACAGGCATGCCACCACCAACAATTTGTGCAAGTGGAATCCATCTCAAATAACACTGAGTCCATAATTTCAATGATTTAATATAAGGATCAATTTCTAATAAATTTTCTTGAGTCATATAACTAATTTTAGATTTCATTTCGTGACAAGATATTCTTAAAGGTCGTTTTTGCGAATTACGCCTTGCATCTCTCGCACTATTCAGAGACCAAGGTCTAGTCTGTAACGGGGGAATTGCAACTGTTATTTTTTGATATGAATTAAGCGTGTATAAAGGATTACGAAAAAACATGATATTGTGTGGTAGAAATTGTTGTGACCAATTCCACACACTATGACTTCCAGATATTCCATTTTGTGCATATGCTTCTTTCAATTGTTTTTGTGAATTGAACAAGAAGGTATCAAATATACTTATGTGAGTACTATCCCAAACTGTTGTGAGGTATGTCTCTGAAAATTCAAATGACGAAGGGCACTGTTGTGTTAACTGCCAAACACAGTCCAAAAACAGAAGAAATACGGGTGACTGCAAAAATAATTTCCATTTTAGAAAATTTCACAATTTATGCAAAATTATAAAGCAATATTTTAAAAATTCATTACCTCTTCACTTTCAGTGGTATTTATATGATGCAACCTTTCCATAAAAGGGTGGCCCAAAGCCACCCATTCTTTTTGTATTAGGTGTTGGAAACCTTGTTGTGTGCGACAATAAGGATCTAGAAGAATCTGTACTAAACTTGAAATGACACAATTTAAATCTCGATTCTCTCTTTCTAAAATAAAGAAATAGTTTATTAATAAAGAAGAAATACAGAATATTTAAAGTATTCAAAATAGCTAAAAGAAAATCAGTTTTTAAACTATGAATAAATTATACCTAGTAAAAATAACCATTTCAAATCTAGTAATAGCAATTCAATATTTTAGTTTGTTATAATAAAATTATGAATAGCAAGACATCTGAAAAATAACATTCATAATATAAAAATTAAGCAAATAATGAATTTAACTTTTTTTATATGCCCTATTCAAAGTTGTGCTAAGATAAAATTTCTTATTAATATAGACCACACGAGTAAACTAAGAACTACAGGATGTTTCAATGGGTACCAACAAATTATATCTGCAATAACTTATTTATATCCTGGTAATGTAATAGTAGAAGTAAAATGTGGGCAAAAGGAAATCAATGAATAACATGTTCAAAATATAGACCATTTGCTACCACTGTATGGTGATTTGAAACACAAAATTACAGAATATTTCAATTTAGTGGTAGCAAACAATGTGCATTTTGAACATGTTATTCATTGATTTTCTTTTACCTACTCATAACAGTAATTTAAACAGTAACAGTGTTTTACTTCTACTAACATATAAATAAAGTTGTTAGTTAAGTTTATTTAACTAATAAGTAAATTTTATAACAACAACAAATCTATTTTTTAAAAATTCATTTATTTATAAAAAAGACAAATTGTTTTTCTACATTTATAAAATAAAAATTATTCCAATTGTATTGATACATCCGTAGTATTAAAAAAGAAGAAAATTTAAATTATCTTGGTTTAATTTTTTATTGCAACTAAGAAATACAGTAGAGCATCGATTTTCCGAAAGTCAATCATCCGAAAGAGATCCAGTCGGCAAATTTAAATTTTCGCTAGTGCTGTGGCGCTTCAATCTTTGTCTATTTCTTGGGCTACTCAAATATTTTACGTTTTTGATACTAAATTAACATCTGAAGAATAATTTTTTTATTGTTTTTATATTTTTCAATAAATTTATTTTGTTTGTACAAAATAAAAAAAATAATTTTTAACGATACAATAGTCTTTGTTAGGCTTAACATCGACGAAAATTCAACGCGAAGCGACACGCAACGGAGAAAAATTTCAACATCGGATAAGTTAAACTATTTTTTCGTACATAAATTGGTTATCCGAAATATCAGTTATACGAACCCCAGTCCTCAATTGATTTGGAAAATCGACGCTCTACTGTAATCACTAATGTACTAATAACTATTACCTTCCTTTTCTGAAATTGTTTTCATATTAAATCATCAACGTAGAAATAAAATATCATAAGCAAATTTAAATTCCATTACAAGAATGAATTTTTAAAAATCTATACACCATACAAGAATGGTGTATAGATTTTTAAATATCTCAAAATTGTAAATTTTGTAATCTTCAAACAGTAAAGTGTAATTAATTAATAAAACTTTTGATTTTATATGCATGATTACTTTCAATTAAATTTCAGATATTAAAAATATAAAAGTACAAAATAAAAATTTGAAAAAATTAAGAGAATCTAAAATAAATTTGTACAAATTACTGAAAGGTAATATTTAATGTAATATGTCTGTGAAATTATCATTTTATATTGTGATTAAAACAATTATATAAAATTTATTTAATAAATAATTACACTTTATGTTGCAGAGTTGACTGTTTCTAATTTGTTTATTTAAATCTTTCTCATTCTAAGAGAAAAGGTACTAAGAGATCCTTTATCATGCCCATTACATATTTTGTCAAACATAATCCACCATGAAAATTTGCAGATTCAATCTGTATTTGAACTTGAGTCTCCACAATAGTAGGCCAATATCTTTATTACATCAGCATCCAGCTATAAGTTATTACTATTATTTAGCAGAATATGAAAAACTGATGACAAATAAATGCTGTTTAGTATGATGAAAATCCATTATGTTTAATTGCTTTATATTGTGTTTGCAATGTGAGAACAAAGTTAAACATGTATAAATTAACAAATTTAATATTTTTAATCAAAATTTAAGTGGACTATTGGATAAAAGAAATTATTTAATAGCATTAAAATCTCGAATTTCATATAAAAGAATCAATATCATAGTTTGCAATATTTTATTAATAAGTTAAAAAGAATTTAATTCTTAAAAAAAAGGTAATGAATAATAAATGATACTTTAATATATAAAATAATGAAAATACTTTGTTTTGGTACATATTTGAATCTTCAGAGAAAGAAATAAACTGCTTAATTATGTTACACTTTTGTTCTTTGTATTAGTAATATCTCAAGCAAACTCAGACAAAAATGCATGCAATAAAAAGTTTCATAATCTTGATACTTTGCTTTTATTATTATTATTATTATTGTGTTTAGTGGGTTATACTCGGTACACACCGGTGGCTGTGTACTATGCCGGACCAGAGTCAAGGCATAGCAACCAAAACAAAACTAAAATTAAATGTGTGTGTCAGTGTCAGTGTCAGTATTAAGGAATTTCCTAACAATATGGCATGTATTCAATATAGTGGCCTTCTGTAGTGTGATGTATGTATTTCTACTCAATTGTAATGTTCCCAGGCTTTTGTGTAGCGTGTGTGGTATCACACCTGTACAGGAGAGAAC